GCTCTTGCCTTTGCTCAGAAATTATAACATGTTGCTTCCCCTGCTGTGTTTCGGTTTCCCTTGAAATGCAGAGGAAAAGAAATAAATTGGCCAAAATAATCTGAACAAAACTGTCGAGGAAGGATGGATCTGAACTTCTCTGGAAGTGTGAGCAGCAGCTGAGGTGGTTTGAAGAGGGAGTCAGAGAGGAACCTGGGGGTGTTGAGTGACAGCCGGCTGAATATGAGCCAGCAGTGTGCTCAGGTGGCCAAGAAAGCCAATGGCATCCTGGCTTGTATCAGGATTAGTGTGGCCAGCAGGGACAGGGAAGGGATCTTGCCCCTGTACTTGGCACTTGTGAGGCCGCACTTTGATTACTGTGTTCAGTTTTGGGGCCCTCACTACAAAAAGGACATAGAGTTACTTGAGCGTGTCCAGAGAAGGGCTACAAAGCTGGTGCAGGGTCTGGAGCACGTGTCCTGTGAGGAGCGGCTGAGGGAACTGGGGGTGTTTAGTCTGGAGAAGAGGAGGCTGAGGGGAGACCTCATCACCCTCTACAGCTACCTGACAGGAGGGTGCAGAGAACTGGTTTGAGCCTCTTAAGCCCAGTAGAAAGGAACAGGACAAGAGGGAATGGCCTCAAGTTGCACCAAGGAAGGTTTAGACTAGATATTAAGAAGCATTTCCTTCCAGAAGGGGCTGTTGGGCGTTGGAAGGGGCTGTTGGGCGTTGGAATGGGCTGCCCAGGGAGGTGGTGGAGTCCCCATCCCTGGAGGTGTTCAAGAGTCGGGTCGATTTGGAGCTTAAGGATATGCTGTAGGTGGGAACTGTGCTAGGAGAACGGTTGGACTAGATGACCTCCAGGGTCCTTTCCAACCTAGATGATTCTGTGATTCTTTTCTCCCTCTCCTGGAGAGAAAGGAAAGGATGGAGGGATACCCTCGCCAAGGGCCACCCCAGAGCCACAGGACTGTGACTTAGCGTGACCCCAGAGGGGATAGAAAAGCTAAAATGAGGAGGAAAATGCTTGTACTGCAGCAGATCCCCGAGGTCCCCTCTGAGCTGGCAGAAGTGGCACGTTACCCATCACTGTCCCAGTGCCCTGAGTCACTCCAAGCCTCAGAAGAGGGACAGGGGGGGCTGAAGATCCCTCCCGAGCATGGCTCTTGTGCTCAGTGAAACCAGCCACCGAGCGCTCGCTGTGGTCTTTTTACACATGATATATTGCTCCGTGCCCATGCTAACCCAACGTGAGTTTTTCGAGACGTTGGCCCTGGAGAAGGGCTGTCTCCCAGCCTCAGGCACAGGATACACACAAGGTAAAATAAAATACTCAGTGACATCTAATATAATTTAACTTCCAGGATTGCTTCCACATCCAGTTTAGTCTGAAAATCAAGACTGGCACACTTTAAATCTTCTTTTGCACAATGAAAAAGATGTCACTCAAAATTTATGTTTCCCTCTGCAGGACTTCCTGCGCGATAAACAAACAAGTGCTCGTCCTCTGCCACTCCTCCTCCCTCTCTCCCCTTCTTCCTTGGGACGCAGCTCAAACAGGCAGAGACCACAGCCCTTGTAAGACAAAATAGAAAGGCACAGGGTGCAAGAATTCAGGTTTTAATACATGTTTAAATTAAGAGTTTGGTTTAGAAGGGAAATGGAGACACAGCTTCATGGAAGGATCATTCCCCGGCATCCCTGGCACACCGGGGTGGGCTTGCTCGGGTCCCCTCTCCTCTCCTCAGCCCGGGGGTGATCTGCAGGTTTCAATCTGTTCAAATGTGGGAAATGTCAGAAATTCATGGAGCAGCCCCGCTCCTATTAAAACTGCATTGAATTAATTAGAAGTGAGGGATGGGTCTGGTTTATTTCTAGTTCAACAAATGGAGGCAGGAAATCTCCAACCTCACAAACACCATCCTGGACAGTCACCCCCCATCACGGGTTGGGTCAAATACTTCCCCTGCAGTGCTCAGCTCCAGGCTGACCTGTTCTATCTTCCCACCCCAAAGAAACCCCTGTGTGAAGCCTTTGATGATGTAGAACATGTCCTCGATGCTGATAATAATAACAAAAAAAAAAAAATTAATTTTGTCAGCCACTTTGACCAGCATTTATTTTATAATTTATCCATTTTGATAAGCATCTGCTCACAGAGGCACAAGGCAGCAGCAAAAGACACCAGGTATCTGGGAGAAAAGAACACTTGTATTCTGTATTAGACAAAATTTAACATATTCCTGCATTTCATGTTCATCCCCGGAATGCAGGATTATGTTAAATTCTGACCATGACCCAATGGGACGGGATTGCCACCCTAAATCTGCTTGATCTCTTGTATGATAAAATTGGAACATACGGATTAAGGGTGACAAATACAGGACAGGGTCTCCTAATCTGTGTGGCAGAGGCTGGCAGCACAGAGCTGCACAGCCTGCTACCCAGCTGGGTTTTCCAAATCAGACCATAAGTGTCTCCAATGCACTTAGCTATGTGTTTAATAGAGTTTTAATTGCAGAGTGATTGCATGTGATATTACAGAATTACCACAGATTACTTAATTGACTATTCGTTTGCTGAGGTTAAGCACATATTTCTCTCAATATGAGTTTTTGCTGCTGTAGATCCTTGCCTCCATACTATTTGACACAGCACTGTCTGAGCCACAGAAGCAGATATTCTTTACCAGGAGAAAACCACTTTCATTTAACCTGTTGCTAAATTTAAGAGCCGTATGTGTGAGATTTAAAATTGGCTGTAAAAATAATCCAGATCCTGCCATTCTCGAAGAGCTGCATGCAGGGGTAAGCAGCTGGGAAGTGCCAATGCATGACGGTTTCTGCAAAAATGACGATGTTCACAAATGAACTTGTGTTGGGAGCCATTTGGGAAGCTGCTTTCACAGCCGGAAAATCCAGCTAATCCTGTACAGGCACTGGGAAAGCAGATGGACTGTGATGTTGGCTCATTCCTGCTGGCCCAGTGCTGATGGATGGAGGGGGAGAGGCTGGAGAGCATCGCTTCTCCTGTGGCCGCTGGGAGGGATCTCCTGCGGAGTCATGGGTGGATGGCTTCCTCCAGGGCAAACCAAAGGTCCGTCCAAGAGAAATCAATTCCTGGAGGTGGCCAAAAGCAGGTGTTCCGAAATGTGAAAGAGCAAGGCAGGCCTCCAGCACTTCCTCCGAGCTTCCTGGGCGACCTCCCCACTTCTCCCGTGCCATGTGTCACGTAGGGGCTGTCCTCATCAAAGTCCCATCAAAGCTCCTCGGAACGGGGTCAGCCACAGGTCAAATTCATTCACTTGATGGTGTCTGAAGAGCTGCAGGCCGTCTAGTGACGCGTTACATCTGTGATCACCATGACCATGTAGCAGCCAAAAATATCCAGATTGAAATAGTGAATTCACTTGGACAAGAGAATAAAAACAGACTCTCTAGCCTTCTTTCCAAAAACATGTCCCTTCGGTTGCCTCAAACTTTATTGAATAAATGGTTTTTTTCAGCATTCCTGGAAGATGCTCTCATACACCATGCAGGCTGATGCTAGAAGAATATAACCACCTCCACTGTTAGTTGTGTGCTCAATAAAAGAGGTAACGCATGGAGTTGAAGTAAGGCCGTCAGTACAGAACTGGGCGCCAGGAATTATTTAATATCTGTACAAATTAGGCAGTGAGTCTGCTAGTGATGACATCTACAAAAACAGGGCACAGACACTTCCCTCCCCGTGATGTCACTGAAGTCTCCTCCGTGCCTCTTGGCTGAGTAACAGTGACGGGGAGATGCCACCGCAGCCAGACTTGCTCCTCCTGGACCGCGTTTTTCAAGAGAAACACATCTTCTGCATCTCTCCTCTATGAGCTATGGCATGGTCCCTGCGGGATGACAGCATCTGGGTTTGGGACATATCCACAGAAATATTTTCAATCCCAAGGCAGAAGGCAAAGCAGCCTTTGCCTCCACGTGCCAAATCTGCATTTCACAGGTGGTGCGTAGCTCGAGGAGAGCTTTGCTGCTTCCTAGCCCTTTACAGGTCACATAAAGGACAAGAGTGATGCAGCCCTTATTCTCTGTAGAACAAATTTGGGATAAAAAATTAACATAATTATTTTATTTAGCCTCGATTTTCTTCTTGTCTTTTATTGTGTTACGTTTTAACTGAGATTTCTTTATTTCCTGCTAGGATTCTGCCAGAATCCTGTCATTTCATACAGAGGTTGAAATGCGTATTACAAAAGGAAACAAATTTTTCCCTTGATTGCCTGATATATCGACTTTTTAATCTAGATTGACAAACCCACTGTACCAACGGCACTTTTATCCTTCGGAGTTGTTGCATTTTATTTTCCGTTGTTTGATCTCCCTCGGTAGGAATCTGGAAAGGAAAAAACATTGTCTTTCTCTGCTTCGCCTTTCATTAATCATTTTTATTATGCCAATATCCAGACCCAAACGTCTTGTAATGGCTGTCACAGGTATTGCACAAATGTAGAGCAAAAGGACGAGCCCTGGCACCAGAAAGCAGCTCCTGAGGCTGTTTAACAATCCCCAGCACCACAGGGACTGCGGGCAGCGGCTCCACAAACAAACGAACGGGATTAGAGTGTCCCTGGTTCCCTGCGTACCTGGATGAAAAACATACACTGACTGTCTCTGTGAGTACTTTGGACAACATACCCAGTGCCACAAGGGCACGAAACACAAGGACGGATGCAAATACAATTTAATTTAAGCCAGTGTCTGACCTAGGCATCAGCAGTCCTTTATCTGTATCACACCTTTTGTTCATGCCACTGCCCCCATGCTATTTTCTATTATTTCTGTTATGCTTGTTTTTACAGACATTTGCAGGCTAGTTGTCCCTCAGAGTTATTAATTCTTTGCATGACAGCAACAGAAGAACAAAGCGGGGATGTAGGAAAACAGTTTACAGTGATCAACACCACACAGGCAGGTCTCTGTTTCACCCCCAGTGAAGAATCGCTCACAAAAGTAATGGGCTTTTTTCATCCCTTGCAGGTGCTGTGGTGATCGCGTTCGTGGTCTGTTGGCTCCCTTATCACATACGGCGTCTCATGTTTTGCTACGTCCCCTCCAGTCACTGGACCGAGTGAGTCACGACACGGGGGACAAACTCTCCCCCATGCCAGGACGGGGTGTGGGGTCAGGCTGGAACTGGGGCTGCTGGGGCACCAGCACACTGCGGGGTGGAGGTGGGGATCTGGGATAAAAGGCACTCTCCACACAGGGAGTTAAAGCCTCAACCTCCTACTTGTTTGGGGTTTTTTTCTTTTGTATTTCTCACTGAGTCTGCCAGCAAAATTGAGAGTCCTAGTTTTATCATCTAAATCCCCCGGGCGTGGGTGAAGGAAGCATTAGCTTGAACCAAAATGCATCATCGTGCCCTTCCTCCTTCTGTGGCTGTGACCACAGAATTGCCCCCGTTAACAACAGCGATGGATATCCACCTCTGACAGCCCCTGATGAAATGACATTTGGACGAGGGGGGGTTTACACATCCGTAGGCATTTGCTGTCTCTGTGGCAGAGACATCGATCACCCGCCCCAAGATGGAGCAGCTCCTGTTAACACACCATTTAGCTCCACGATGCCACGTTTCCTTAATGACAGGAGAGATGGCACAGGTAGGGAAATAACTGTGCTGCTCATTGAGTCTGGGGCAGGGTAATTACTGGGTTTTGCAGGGAGTGGATCAAAATTAAATACTAGCAGTTGCCACTGATTAGAAAACGTCCAGCTTCTCGGAGAAATTAAGGATAATTGTACCCCTACACTGAATGCTTGCGGTTCACAGATGTGCAAGGGCACGCAGACAGCTCCATGCGGCTTTTCTGTCATGTCAGTCCAGGTTCCTCAGCAAAGCAGCCACAGAACCGATCATCCATTTTAAATACGCAATTAAGCATTAATGCCATCTCAGGATATACACGCAGGTAGCCCAAGACACTATGAGATGCGCTCAGTTCTCCCACAGTGTTACATCCCTCTTCTCTCTGGGATCAGGTCTGTTTCCTGCGATGAACAGGAAAAAAAAAAAAAAATCTACAATACCAAAACGCAGAGCAACTATGAGACATTAAAATTTCATTTGCAAGCACCAAAAAAATCGTCATTTACAATATAGCAGTCTACTGAATGGAACTGTACATCCACCCATAGTAAAAACCAAAACCTATCTTCACTCATAAAAACAGAGCTGTAGGCACATGCTGGGACAAACTGTTGTTTCTTGTTTGCTTTCCTATATGAAAAGCACTTAAAGCAGCAATCAATTATGTAACGACTGCGTTTGCTTTGAGCAAGAGGGGTAGAGAAGTCTGTCTGCAGTTAGTGTGAATTTATGCATTGTGGTTGCATTCACATATTTTTTTTCCTTCTTTTAAAAGCCATGAGGGATTTTAGGAAAACATTGAATTTACAGGCATGTTATGAATGGTGAACTATCAGTATGGTAGCTAATCAAGAGCTTGCAGCAGCTTGATGAGTTCATTTATTAATGCGTGTGCCTGCCCCTGAAGAAGAGAAATTTTTTTTTTTGCTATATTAATTCTTCACAACTATATAGAGAAATTCTGCTTGCAAGAGCTGGATGGGCCGTGCAGTCCTTGGCAGTGCTGAGGGGGTGTGGAGGGAATGGTGATGTACTCCAGAGCACGTCTATTTATCTTTTGTTAGACAGTGCTCAGACTAACAAAAAGGTCTGCAATTTCCACTGAGATAAATGATCCTGAGGAACATCTTCCTGAAAATGCGACCTACATTGTTTATAAACCCTTTACCAGACCAGAGCTGTCGATCTCAGTTGTCCAAAGGAAAGATATTTCCAAAAGAAAAAAAAATATATATAAATAACAACCTAAGCATTTTCAACCAATTCTAGTTGAAGATATGATATTGCGATGGTCAGGATATGTTTCAAAAGCATCACCTTGCCCCCAGAATAGAGACTGCTATCCCAGATTACAGACAAATCCCAACCCAGGGACACATGGAACGAGCTGATGCAGCTCTCACTGCCGGGGGGAGGAGAGAGCTGCATCTGTTACTGGATCTTGGCTCTTTTGCAGGCTCTGTAGACCAGAACTGCAGCCAGAAAGCCAAGCTAATGTATATGCATGACACAGAAACAAATTTCCATCTGGCTTCTCAGTTTCACGCATGTCTATTTTTGAAGACGAAATGAATGCACATGGTAAATATCACATCCAGACCCGGGACATACATACATTTCTAACTGCTAGTGGTTGGGGCAAGACCTTTGCAGAGGTATTCGACCTACGTTTGGCCAGTCTCAGTTGAAAACGTAGATGTTTTCCTGGTGGCTCATGCACTGACTCCCAAGAGTAAGCCCACATCCCCAGCCAAGAAAGGTTAGCTGAAAAAAACAGCTCATATTTTCTCACCCCCTTGTGACTTTGAATTCTATCAGTTCTCCACACTCTACTTAGATTTTTTTTTTTTCTTTCATCTGTTCTTCCAGTTTCCTTTTCAACTTCTACCACTACTTCTACATGTTGACAAACGTCCTCTTCTACGTCAGTTCGGCAATCAACCCCATCCTCTACAACTTGGTGTCTGCAAACTTCCGACAGATCTTCCTCTCTACACTCACACTCCTGTGCCTGCCATGGAGGAAGAAGAAGAAACGACTGGCCTTCACCAGGAAATCCAACAGCATCTCCAGCAACCACACATTTTCCAGCCAGGTCACAAGGGAAACTACATACTGAAGCCAAAGGAGGAAGGGAAATGCATTTCATCGTGGAGTCAAACCTTGAGAGAGGCCTCTGTGACTTTCATGCATGGTCTCCAAATTCACGTAACACAAATGTGTTTAGCAAAGTCGTTTTTGTTGGAAAAATAGGCTTCATTCTGCTGGTAACTTTGAGGTTATTTTAAAGCATTGGCTTTGCCTCTTGTGAGTAATGTCTACACGTTTTGTAACTTCAGTCTGGCGTAAATCCAGTTGCAGTGTTAATTGGGAAGCCAAAATATGTTAAACTTAGGCAAAATCATAGCGCATTTCATCCTTTTCTCAATGCAGAGATGCCATGTCCACATCCAAGGGTCTGAGATCATGTCTCTTGGTAGCACCAAGCAGAGAGTCTGATGAAGAGAAATCAATTTTGAACAGAAAGGGATGTTTTTTGGAGAATGGACATGCTCGTCTATGGGATGTTCTATGAACGAAGAGTGAAAACTCAGGGAGCCAGGTGGTCATCTTAGAAATATATCTAAATTATGATTAATATGACCTAGGTGCTCAAGAGAGCCACTCTGGCTTCTTGGAATTAAATGACAGATGATGCCTTACCTAGATTGGGGTGGCTGTGCCTGGGGGTGGGGTAGGGGGACATCTTTCACTTTAGGGCATATATAGTGCCTGGCACAGTGAACCCCCTCTCTCGCTGGTTTGGTACTGCCACACCAATAGATAACAAAGTCTCTGGCAGAGTCAAAAATGCAGAAACTGTGCCCAGCTGGAGTGCTGAAAGCAAACATAAGTGGAAGACCTTACTGTTGCCATACAGCCAAATCCTATTTTTTACCGCGGAGAACAGTTATCTGGCCTGCATTAAGAGGTGAGAAAACTCCAGGCTGATGAGGGCCCCAGGCTGCTGAGATAAGAGCAAACTGCCCCAATTCTGTGGGACCTTCAGATTTTCCCAATTCTTACTCCAGTTTTAATTTTCCCTCACCATTTTCACGAGGCTGACATAGGTTATATCAGTTGTAGGCAGCAGGGCCTCTAGTTCTACATTTTCCTTCATTTCTTTTTTGCTACCAGACCTTTTGGCACACTGATCTGCACACACAAATCTTCAGACAGTGCAAATGAAGAACACAAGAAGCTCTAAACTGGGGAGTCTTAGCTCTAAAACAACTTCCTTTTAACAAGCCAGAGGAACAGAAACAAGACCTGAAAAGTCTCTTTAAAGTTTCTCAGCTGGCCATGATAGGTAGCGTGAGCTTTTCTCCCACGTGGTTCCACCTCTAACAGCCCACTATGTGATGCAGTAAATTGCTTCAGAGCCTTCAGCACCAGAAATCACAGGCCTCTGGGACAATCTAAAGGACTTTCCCTGCTGTCACATCACCATATGGTGACCTGCATGAACCTGGAACCAGCCGAGCATCCTGTGCAACCTCTGCTGTGATTTTGGTGGTGGTGACCTTGCGTCCCCTTTCACACCGCACTTCATTAGAGCAGAAGTTGCCTGGTTTATGATGACAAACTAGAAGACTCACTTGTCTCAATTCAGCTTTCTGGGCTTTGCCCACACCCTGTCACTCTTCAACTAACGGGCACCCTTGGTACGTAACAGAAGTCTCAATGCTGGAGATGTGGATCTGGCCCCGGTGAACTGTCATACAACGATGGAGACCAGTTACTGATCCACTGGGTACCAGTGACTTCTCCTGCTACAGATGTGGCAACCCACGCGTTTGGTCCTGTTGGGCTCAGGACACAGAGAAAACACCTGTGGGGCATTTACTGCGAGTTGTGGGTGATGGCTAACTGCTTCCAAGGCGTTTGTAACCTGGCTGTTGTACAGAGCTAACTACCATGGTAGACCTGGCTACCATCAGCCATGACCTCCAACCACACCTACCAGGGTTTATTTTAGTGTGTAATACAGAACCACTGCAAAAGAAAGGGCTCAAAATAGAAATCAGTGGGGCTTTAGTTTCCCCCGATCCAGACAAACTGCAAGTTTTGTTCTGACACACCTTTTAATTTCTTGCCCTGGTTGTACCAGAGGGCAGAGATATATTTGACAAAGCGCTTCTGTTGTTCATGCACAGTTGATTCTTGATTCTCTTTGGCAAGCAAAACAGGTAATGGCTCACACACACACACACACACACATGATAAGAGAGACTGGTCTCTTTGGAAGGAAAGTGGTGAGAAACCAGCAAAAGTTATCTCTGTGTGTGTTAGAAATGGTTTGGGCATGTTGGAAGAGGAAGACTTGTAATAATGCCTTGTAGGAAAGTCCAGGTATGATGAGCAGAAGAAGAGGAGTTTTAATGTCACACACTTAACACTGGCCTTCCAAGCAAGACACTTTAAATGTTTCTAGAGAGGATCTAAAATTTTTAACTTCACCTCTAAATAGAGTCAACAGCTGGGAGGTGGTTTCTCGCACAGAAGCTGTAACTGTGTCATGCTTTGACTTTCATCTCCTGCGTGTCTCAGTTGCTTTTGAAATGTTAAACATTATTAATACACTTGTTCAACCCCAACCTGCTGAAATGCGCTTAATTACCTTAGAAACACTGTACAAAAAAAATTTGTTGTTTCACATAAAACGCTTGGCTTAGATTTTCATTACTGAGATACGCTGGCAGTTTACAGAGTATTTGATCACAGCTCAGAAAACCTGGTAGGTTTATTTTTGGTTTGACAGGAAAACGGGAACAAGCTGGAGTAAAAATGAATTTATCATAAACTCTTTCTGCAATGTTTGTTGGGCCACTGGAGTCCTGAAGATCTGGCTGTTTGAGCAGATTTATCCAAGTGGTTTGCTGGCTTCTACAGGTCTGTCCCTGCAGTTTAACATGGGAGACAACCTGAGTCTATGGCCTTAATCTGAGATTGCAGCTCAAAGCTACCTCTACCACTGGCCAAATCTGACTATCTTGAGCTGAGAAGTGTAAGTTACAGCTGATTTCATCCTCTCTCCCCTCCTCACCTAGTTTTACTATATTCAACCTAGAGATTTAGTTCCCTTGAGCTCAAAGAAGTGAGGATAACTCACTGCAAGACCTCACAGTTTTGTAAATGAAAGCATGATACCGTAGAGAAGAAAAAGAGAACAAACTGCCCAGTATATACCAGAAAAAATGGTTCTTTCCAAACCTTTTAATAAAGGTTGAACTACTAACCCAACAGGGTTTAACTTTAAACCTAATCAAGTATCAATAGCTTTTACGATTAGACAAAACACCTAGTCCCATCCTTGGTATTCGTCTTGTCTGAACTCTCCGCTGAGGCTGAGAGGTGAGCGTTGGTGCAGCATGCTGTTAATCTATGCAAATTTCCTACAAGTGTTTTGAATAGTTTGTCTCGACTGAAAAAAAAAAAAAAAAAAAAAAAAAAAAAATCTGTTGAACCCACAGATGTGAAGTGCTGCCAGATGGATTCTGAGAAATTCCCATCTGAAGAAAGTCTATCAAGTGACCTCTTCAAATACTATTTTGAGGTTTCGTTCCTCTTCACAGTGTTCTTGACAGGGCCATCCACTTGGCAGCGTGTGAAATCAAATTTACAAAGTCATTATGCTATGAGGAAATTTCCCCCAGACAGGACTTTCTCACCAAAGGCCCAGTAGACATGAGTGTTTGAACACTCGGCTGAGCTTGTCTTTTTATAAAGTACATGAGACCTCGCTTCGGCGACGGCGTCCGTAAAGGAGGAAAAACTAACGGAAAAGTCGGTGAGGAGGGTCAGCAGGACCCGTGCTCTAAACACGACAATAGAGGGACCTTTGTGTTTATAGCATCAAACATTTATTCAAATGAAAACCAAGGTGTTCTGTTGCTGCAGATGGCTCGTGTTGCAGGTTTGAACCCATCATCTGTGCAGCGGCCATCAGCACCCGCCCTCGCGTGAGCGCGCAGAGGTTTCCCACGCGGCGCCTTGAGTGTCAGTCTGGTATCTTCCCGGTGGTGTTGTCTGGTAGCTGGTTAAACAAAGCTGTGTCTGCTAGAGCTCTGCCTGGTTCTTACCATTACAGCTCACCAAGTTCTTCTGTTCTCAGTCTGGAGTCATTTAGTACAAAACCAGAAATTGCCAAAAAAATTCATGATGCTGTGTCCTGGCTTTGTGATCGAGAGTCCTTCCCCAGCCGTGCCACCTGATAGTCCTGCACATATTGTATTTATGGCAAATATTTTTTAAAGTGCACCTTTGTTTTTTTTTTTCTAAAAGACAAAACTTTGATGTGCTTTACTTTCTGTGGCCTGTTGCGCAATGGGAAAAAAAAAAAATGTTACAAGTGTGTCAGCATCTCCTTTGTAATGTTTTCTGTGACAAAGGGAAGGAAGAGGGTGTGAAATCCTTTTGTGTAGCAATGGGAAGCACTCTTTCAATGTAACGTGCTATTATTGACACTGTATTTACTGATCAAACTGTAACGAAATGGTTATGTCCTGATATAGCCTTTGTACTGTACGGTATTTTATTTTATTTTATTTTGTCATTTATTGATTCTAAGAAATAAATATCCAAATTTAAGGCTTTGGGCTGGTTATGCTTGAAATGGCAGCTGTGCCTTTATCATGCAGCCTGCTTTCCAGCATAGGCTGTGTGGCTGTGGTCCAAACCAGTGAGATCCCATCGACCTTGAACTGACCTTTGCATCTCCTCTGCGGAAGGGCCCTGAGTGCTCCCTTCGCTTGAGTCCCTGGGCTTTGAGCATGTGGCATGCACAAGCCTGAAGTATGGAAGTGGAGATCTTCCGGGCTTCAAGAAAGACCTGTGCTTCAAGGAAGAGCCTTTTTCAAGGGCATCTGCTCTTGGTGGTGTCACTGCAGGAGTCCGTTTGCTGAACTCCTGCCTTGCTTGTCTTGCCTGCTTGCATTCCCCTGTTGCAGGGCAAATGTTAATGATGTTGTATCTTGATCATTATTTCTCCGGCAGCTTTGCTCAGAAAAGTGAGCAGATCAGGGCTTTATTGCACTAGGACCTGTAGGTACACAGTGAAGGAGACAGGTCTCACCCCAGAGAATTTGTTGCTGAAAAATAAAGCAGGTTTACTGTGCCTTAGCGGTGAGATTTCCCTTCCTATCTTCCCCTCTTTGCATGACCCACATCCTCCCTGGCATTCATTTTTCTAACACATATAATTTTGTGGGAACAGAATACTTGGGTATCTCCCACAATATTAAAGTGTCTTTACACTTAATGAGCAAAAATCAGTCACCGCTGTGCTCCCTGCAGCTCCCAGTTAAGGTCCTGTTGTGAAATAGCACAGCTGAGCACTAGGAAAATCCACAAAATCTTCATAGTTTTTAGCCATTCAACTGTATTGTTTTGATTTCTGGCAAAGAGAGAGGTTGCTTGGAAAGCAGCAACCAAATAAAATATAAATATTTGGAATCATTTGTGCCTGGAAAATTCATCTTCCAAAACCTAGCTGAAATGCACCACCTCTACGAAAGCATTTTGGTGCTGCTTCCAGATGAGAAGAGCAGGAGCTTCTATTGTCCCTACACTATTTATTATTAACGAATCAAATAATTTATTTTATGCATCCTTTTATTTGGTATTCATCCATGCTCTATTAAAAGGTGTATTTTCAGTCTGCTGCCTAACGACCTGCAGTTCGTCTCTTCAGCAGTGAAAATCCACAACACACGGCAACGGCCTTGTTTTCTGGCTGCAGGAGATATTTTTTTGAATGCTCCCGGTGGAACCTCCATTGTTTATGCAGAAATCCAGACCACGTTTCAAGCTGGAGTGAAAAATGTTGCCCTCTGCTTGTGACTTCTCTATGTCAAGGGTTGACTCCTTGAAAAAGCAAAATTCCCCGGAACCAGAGCTCCTCGCTCCTCCCATGCAACCCTCCCACCCGATGTCATGCAACTGGGCATCACATCATGCCCCATCAATGCGAAGGAAGACAAAAGGCTGAGGAGAATCAGTGATTTTTTTTTTTTTTCTGTTAGAAAGGCACAAGCAATGAGGAATGCTTTCAATTTGCCCCGTATTTCTCATTTCAATTATAAAAGTAATTTCCACAGTTCACAAGAGGAAAATTTCAGGCGCCTTTTGAAACAAATGTTACATTTTAGTAAATGGCTTCATAAAACTTAATAAACATCCACCCAGAAGTTAATTTATTTAAAATGTCTTTAAATCCTCCTCTGCCTTATTGAATTTGTTTGAACTGTAGATCAGGTTGGAGTATATTCAGGAGGGTATTCAAGCAATAAGGCAGCGCATCCTGGTTATTGTTACAGGTCTCCTGTGGGCTGTGCAGTGTGGAGCGGAGCGTGACATGACTTTGGGCACTCAAGTGCAAAACCCCTCCACAAGAACCCTGAGTGCTGCGGGGTGGCTGAACCAGAGTGCTGGGGTTGGTTCCACGGCAGTCAAACCAGTCCTGGGCTCACTCAGCCAAATTACAGGGGGGAAAGGATGGTGGCAGGAAGCTTAGTACAAGCCAGCTGAGCCTACCAGGGACTGTAGCTCCTAAAGAGAGAGAAAACATCGTTGTTTTATTCTTGAAGAAAGACTTACTGAAAGCAGAATAAGTGGGAAGAGTCAAAAAATCTGAATTGACACTTAAACATCTCAGATGTTGCCAGAATATCATCACCTGTGTGAGCGCAACAGCCACACACTTACCTGTGCATACACTCCCTATAAATTTTTGCTCTTTCCAGAGGGGACCTCTTCCTCTTGCTTGAAAGTACTGGTGGGCTTGGCTGGTTTGTATCACCAGTGACATGACCTTTAATTACACTTGGCTGTTTCTCTATGAAATCCTGAAGGAATGGGAAGCAATATCCTTCACCGATTTAACGCAAAAAATGTAAAACCATCTTGTAGAGCAGGAAAGAGTCCACTCTGCTTTCACACTGCTGCTGCTCCTCTGTGCACTGCTGAGATGCCTCAAGTTTGTTGTAAATTGAAATTACATAAAGGAATTACTCTGAATGCATAGCCTCGAAGATCTGCTTCAAGATCTGCAAAGGTACGGAGAGAAAAAAGAACTCTTCTCTTGCAAGTACCATTAGTATCTTGGATGGACCATTTCCTCCTCCTTCATCTTGATGAACTGCAGCATGAAGATGAAAGGACAGACACCCCATATTTTGCCACTGCATTAGCTTCAGTCGCATTAAGGGCTGAACCAGTCAGCCTGGGATTTCTTTGTTCCTTTCTTCTGCTTCTCTTTTCGCCCATCCTTGGAAGCTGTTCAGTAGGTACGTTCAACACTTCTGCCATACAGCTTTCAGCCTCAGGCACCACTAAAACACATCATAATTAATCAGGATGTCTGATTGCTCTGTATCTCACCACTACTCCTTAACTATGTAATCTCCAATGAAAATATTCGCATAGCATTTTTTCTTTATAAATGTCTCAGGGCTGAGCAGATACTGGGTCACACAGGTCTGTGGTTCATCTCCCTAACAAAGACCAACATGCAAGGGAAGAGTCCCAGGGCCAGAGCTCTGAATAACTGGAGTGTGGGTTGTACAACGTGATACTCACTCTTCTGAAATCCCATTTGCTGTGGAATAGACCCTCTGGGCTCATCTGGAGAGCAAACTTGGCCACTTCTGCCATCCTGTACCTCCATGCTGTATACAGACACTCCCGGACTCTCCAGCACCCCAACATCTCATGAACATCATCAAGATGTAATTGCAATCGTTATCAAGATTTAATAGTGCCAGCGCACTGCTATCACCTAGCAGACTCCGTACCTTCATGGCTGCAAGGGGGCTCTGGTTTTGTGATATGAATTTCACACACAGAGAACTTAAGGGATTCACCCAAGGCCTAATGAAATCTTCTTGTAGACCGAGGATTCAAACCCCAATTAATTCTGACAGTGGACTCATTCATCTTCCCCTTCATTCAGGATAAGCAGGTAGCCCATGAGCTATTTTAAGCCTCCCTTCCAGGACATATATTAGCAAAACATGCCAATGTTCAGCCATTTCAAAGCAACTTCTCTCTGGTTGTCAGCAACAGCAACAACCTTGGCACAGCACTCGGCAGCTTTCAAAGCGTTCTTGACGGTGCTGTTATCCTTGGTGTCTGCTTCTGTATAGAAAACATACAGATTGCAGGAGGTAAAGCATTGTGTTTCTGAATTTAAAAAATACCCAAACAGGAACAAACTCCATTAAATGGGAATGACCTTAGTGGTGCCATGGAGAACTATAATGAAATCTGTGACACCTGACATTTTCAATGTTCTAGTTCTTCCGTCCGCTTGAAAAGCAGCTACGACTGTCAACAGCATTTTTAGTACAGCTCCCACACAAAGCATGCACTCTTACAACGTTCCACATTACTGCGATAAATCTTTTTTTTTTTTTTTTGTCTTCCTTCTGACTGGCAATTGAGATAAGATTAATTTCTCTTTACCATCATCACAAGCATGAAATTACATTTTTCGTGACCATCCTAGAAAAATGCCTTCTGTAGCCAATGGTGTTTCCTGACTCAGAACTTGAGACTTACCCCGCTCCTGCCTCTGGGCTTGGGGCGAGCAAAAGGTACAGGGATTTTAAAGCTGGTCACCACTGACACGACCGCATGGCAGCCTGACGGGTTAATTTTCTTGCCCACAGAAGTGAGCTTCCCTTCTGAGGAGGCTGATCTAGCAAGACATGTAAACAGAAGCCCATAGGCTTTAGAAATGAAAAAAAAAAAAAACCAAATTTGGGGGGCATTTGTGAGCCTAGATGAAGGCCCACAAGCACAGCTGGTATAAATCAATTTGCATCTGCAGAGAAACCCAGTTTGTGTTTTGAAGTGACCTAGTCTAGCTTTGTTTGTTTCTCTTTTCTGAGGCTTTTTTTTTTTTTTTTTTTTTTTTTTTTTATTAGAAGTATCATTTAGCAGGGGAAAAATGAAGCAGTTCATTATGTTCGCAGCTCCACAGCCAATCTTAAATGCCAGAGGCGCTGATCAGATTAAAACAGAAATCACAGTTCATGGCTCGTGTCTGGAAGGAACAAAGACTCCAGTCCTGATTTTGATTGAATACAGGACAATATCTCTTGCTTATTGTATATATTACAACAGTGAGGAGGGAGAGTGTTTATCACAGCATGCTTCAGTGCTTTTTAATATACTGTTTATCATATGGAGCTCACTGGCATTCACAGAACACCCTGGCAGACTTCACTTTGTATCTTAATAAGTTTTCATGGACTTTGCGAGACAGAAAAATACATGCTCCCGTGTTGACAGCCTCACTCCATTTATACACCATTAAAACCAGCATCTCATCAAAAAGCAACATGCCCGGCTTAGTGTAGCTACCTGATAGAACTCCCTCTCCCCCTTGCCCTAGGGTGATATGATCTCTGTGAGATCAGCCACGTTGTTATATGCTGATTCCTGGGGCGGAAGAGTTTGTTGTCTTCTGCTGGGTGAACATTTCATCAGTAAGCTTGGGAAAGAATAGGTGTAAGTGTGAGTGGCAGCTTCGTGCCTGTGGTGAACAGGAAAGTCAAAGCCACCCATAGACAAGCGCTCAAATAGAA